CACCCACACCCACCCCGCCCACACCCACACCCCATCCAGAACGGAAACGCCAAAGATTTTCTCTAGGGATAATATGATAAGTCCCGATTTTGAGGTTCATCCAATTTGTATCAAGTAGAGGATTTTGTTTTCTAACTTTTTATGTAAAGATAGTTCCATTTCTCTTTCATCTTATGTTCCAAATCGGCTAAATGTCACATATGCTCAGAAGCAAAATTTTATTCAAAAATTGGTGTTACGTCGGCTGTAGCTCTTATCACGCATATGCAAATAAGATCGAAATTTGAGAATATATGTAAAAAAGGGTCCTCTGTTGACTGAATCTGTTGACTCCAAAGAGATTGCCTCGCGATTCCCGTACGATATCTATTCAGCATATATGATATAATTAACTGTCTGATATGGATTCATCAGACTGAACCTATTTCCAGTGCCAACGGTTGCAGTTTCGCCCTCGATTTCATGTGAATGAGTGCCTGCTTCGTTGATTACTATACGAGTAATATCTTTCGCAATTGAATGAGAATGTGGAACTCGATCTTGTGATATTCCACCACCTACCAAGCCGAAACCACCATTCCAGCTAAATGGACCGTCACCCGTTCTCCCGCCATGATCGTGCCCAGGGTCAGTATATGAATGTGTATGGTTACCGCTGCGTACAACAGTTAATGAACCTTTGCCATGTGTATGGGGAGGAAGGTGCTCAACTGATAGCTGGTGTGCGTCGTAGCCACCACTTATACCCGATTTATTCGCGTTCCTAACACGAATTTGTAGCTCATCGACACCCAATGGAAATCGACCACGAAAGTCCGGAAGATTAAATGTAGTTCGACCATCTCCCGAGCCGTATGTTTCCCCAATAACAGAAAACAGCCGTTGATATTCGACTCGTGAAACAGCTGCTCCGTCACATAGAAGCCAGGGAAGTGGTGGAGTTGTTGCACCTGCGAAGATCTGTACGGTGCCAGTTAGAAACGTTGATGGTTTGTTTGCATATATAATTGGAGTACTAGCGGCACTGACTTGTCGTACAAGAGCACCGTTTCTTTTGTCTGCAATTAATTGCTTCGATATAATTGCAACTTGTAAACGATCTGTCAAATCAACCAGTTTGTACACATTGAATGATTTGGGAATGAACTTTTCACCAGTCCATTGAAATTCTGATTGTTGTTGCTTTAAAAAGCGTTGTATATCAGTTAAGGAATAAATATCATGATTTGTTTGCATTAAGATATCTTGCAAGGTATTTGATGATGATGAAGAAGAACTACCTGAACCACCCACACCAATACCGAAGATTGAAACGCTACCTCCTCCACTAGATGAGTCACTGCTGCTTGATGCTTGTAAATTTTGTTTATTTAAATCAAAATATGTATTTGTATAGTTATGACGTTTAGTTTCCGTATCATTGTAAGTAAATAGTTTACTCAATTCGGATGTTAAACGATCAGGATTCAGATCTGATGAAGACCAGACTTGATCGAATAAGGCTGCATCGATCGTTGTTTGTTTAGATGCATCCATTCCTGAGGAACAAAAAGACAACCAGTTTTATACACCGAAAAAGGATGAAAAGTGCATCAAATTACTTACCTTGTTGTAACAATGAAATAAACTGTTCTTCAAGTCCATTTGTCAACAAGGAAAGATTCGTGTTCGTGTTTTCCATATAAATCATTTTTTTGACATTCGTAACATAATTTCCAACGAATTTGGATGCTTGATTACGATGAATATATTGTGCATTTGCGTTGGCACCATCAGCTATTGTCTTACTCAAAACATTTTTTAACTGATCACTTGTAATTGATATTAAATTTGTCGATATTTGTCTAAAGCCAGCAAAGTAAAATGCAAGTTCAATTTCATAATCACCATTTTTTATTTTTTCTATAATTTGTCGAGCAGTTCCATTTTCTGAACATTGAAATCGAAATGTTAAAATGAGTGAATTTGGATGTACGACTCGATAAGGATGAACACCAGCAACTGGTAACGTTGCACCATCGACAATATATGCCATCAACGAGTCAATTATTAATGGTGCTACAGTCCAATATTTTGAATATTGTGTTATACTTAAATCATATTTGTCAATAATGGCTTTACGAGCCAGTTCTTCTACATTTTGATTACCTAGCATTAGTTTTAAACGTATTTCGTTATTTACAAGCCATATCCATGAATCATTACTGTCTTGTGTTGGAGCCATGATTGGCACATAATAGAATAGCCATTTTTGTGGTGTTAATTTATTTTCATTCTCGTTTGACAGTGCACTGTAGATATACACTTGTGCACCATGATAATACAATATTGTTAATATTTGTGTATTAACAATGGCTGTAGCAAAGCTTGGATCTGATGCAGCACGAGGTAAATTTTCGTCATTCTCGATAATATCGACTGAAGCAGCATGATGATTAAAAATGAATAAAACGAGTACAAGAGATAGAGTGCAAGTAATCGACATTTTATTATTTTCGCTAGTGCTTTTTATTGTGAAAAATAGTAAAAAAATTCTGCTTATTTATAAGTCTACCTTTCTATACAAAAATATTTTATACTTCGTTTCTCTTTCGATAAGCAAACAGAAAAGAAACAATATGCGTCGCAGGGAATCGAGCCCAAGTCTGGCAGTGATTATTCGCACCAGTGCTCTGACCATTAAGCTATCAAAATGTGGCCTATATACATATTCAATTTTGAATACCTGTTAATCATCGAAAAGAAAGGAAGTATGAAACATTCTTCTATAGAATCGCAAACACTCATATATGTCTATCATATATACACCTTCGCAAACGGATTGAATCACCACCACGTCACTTGGTCTAGCTATAGCTTCACTAAAAGGGGAAGTGAGTAATAGTTCAGGTGTATATGGTGAATTAACACTGTCAAAAACCACCATGTCTACTTCACCTGCGCGCAGTGCTTGAACAGCCAGTTGAAATGCTTCGAGAGACAAGGAATACGCAGCGTCAAGCGACAAATTTGGACCGTGCAGATCGAAATGATCGGATAGATGAGCTGATGCATTATAAAGCAATGTGTGCGGACTATGAAAACTTGTTCGGTGTTTAGGCCTGAGTCGACACTATCCTACAACACAATCATTTGTGAATTGTACAATGTGCATGAGATACGTGAGTCGCGTATCTTTTCGAATGGATAATCACCGTCGTCGAGCAAATTGACGAATCTGAGCATTAGGAGACAATGACAGCGATCAATTATAGTCAGTTCGATATCTAGCAGATCAACAAGGCTTCGCTCAAATGTGCCAAGTACCGATGTCGACACGAAATGATCACGACAGACAAGTGCTTTTTTGACAGTCACTATTATCTTCATTGAGCATACGAACATAGTAAAAGAGAAGATCGAACCGATCGATTGGTACCTCGCAGCGCAGATCGCGGCTCTGCTCGAGTGCATACCATAAATCAGTTGATGAATAAGTATCATCAGCGAACTCGCACACAATATCGATTAAGAACACAGATTCGAAAGACTGTAAACTCATAATGATGTACAGTTCTGACTGATCGATGTAGAATGGGACCACGCTCACCTGAAAACGAAATTGAAGAGAATCAATTCTATTATATTCGGTACATCTATGATCGGCAAAACTAGACAACAAGTTTTTGCGATAGATTTTTCTCCGAGGCACGAAATGTCACACTCTTTCTTACTCGTCGACTGCTTCATCACGGTTTTTTAACGAGAAATATGTTATTTGTCTAATCATCCTATCGGAAAGGAACTAAACGATTTATCCGGATAAATACCATCTAACTTTCAGTTACGTGGCGGATGCTCCTATGCAGGTCTTCCCAAATTGGCACTAATCAAAAGTCAGCAAGGGTGTGGGTGTGTATTAGAAAGAATCGCCATTCTACGACAACGTTGTTTCTGTCCATCGCGAGACTTCGTCAGGTGGATAACTAAATATTATGTCTACTTAAGATTATGTAATTCTCTTAGAAGATAAATAACGTTGAATTACATATTTAGATATAATAATTAAATTTTTTTGAACATTTGCACATAGAAAATTTTCCAAGTAGAATTAACTTTAAACTATGGTCTTAGTCGGAGCTACCATGACGCGTTTCGATCTGGCTAAAGATCTCATCAGGTCAAATAAATCTTTAATTTGGTTCAATAAAGAATCAATTCAAGATTCGTGATACTGTTGCGTCGGAGCTAGCATGACCGGTGTTGCTCACTGGTGGTTAGGGGTGATCGTCGTATTGGAGAGTGTGGGTGTGGGTGCGGGTGTGTGGATGTGGGTGCTAGTTGGACAAGAACATACTCACAGGTGTCGATGTGGGTGTCGGTATGTTCTTGTCCTACCAGCACCCACACCCACACCCTTTCTACTATATAGGCATATAACTAAATTAACTTAATGCTGTATAGTTTTAATACATGACTCAAAACAAACATCTGGTGTGAGACTTTTGACGCGCACTATAGTTACAGAAGGATTTGTTCATTGAAGATATCTTTACGAAATGACGTAGGTGATTAATCAGCTCCTTAATATTTATTGTTTAGTCGAATGTTCAAGCGTGACAAACATATAGCATATTTCATCTTTTTCTCACTTTCTCTCGTCTCTCTCTTTTTTTCTTTATCTGTCGTCGAAATATGTTCCACTATCTAGTTGCGTATGAGATGTGGATGTGAGCCTTTTTTTGAGTCATATCCACATTCTGATCCATGGGTTGAACCAAAAACGATTTTCGGGCATATCTATTCCGGAAGTTTCAGCTATAAAAAGCGAAACTTTGTTGAGAAAACTGTAAATGTCTCTCATGTGTGACGGAAATGAAACTTATTACAATACATGTCCTGCTATCATTTCTGGATCTATTTAAGTCTTTTGATGGCAATTAAAGATGCGTGAAATATTCTCACGTGTAAATGATTTCAACAGACGGCTAACCACTATCCAAGAATACAAACTGAATCAGAAATGATAGTAGCATAGGCTTTGTAACAAGTTTCGCTCTTTACAGATGAATCTTCCGGGGTATATACAGTAACAGTCATGTATTTGTCTATAAATTTGAGGTCGAACAATGACCTAAATGTCTCACAGACACTTTTTTTTACGATTGGGATTCATCTACTGATTGATTGGTAAGCGTCATTTCAGATCCGCTCAATAGAGGTCACTACAGAACAGAAAGTTGACGAGTAACATTCGATGTCGATGATTTAGCATACCCTTTGAACTCTCTTTCTCATTTCTCACGCATTGTCCACGAACGAAAGAAATAATGATCAAAGCCTGTTACATATGAAAGTGAAGCAGATAAAATCAATGTTTGCTCAGCAAGCTGTCGTTGTAATATATTTTATGGACATAAGCGAACTACAAGGGAATGCCCATCTTCCATCCTACTCTCTTACTAATTCACTGTATGTTGATCTGCGCCGTTGTATTGCAGTCAACAGTGTTTCGAAAATAGTGTTAGGGTGCGCCATCTATCATTATAACTATCATCCTCATACTATCTACTTTATTTAAATATTTATTATGATCTTTTCATTGGTTTACTCAATTGACGTACTAGATCGATTTATATATATAGTTTAGTTTACTTTTTTCTTTCTTGGTAGTTGTTTACTGTTCTCGTTCGTTGCTCGTTGTATTTTTCAAGCTATTCGTTATTGCTCGTTAACTTTTTTTTGTATTTGTTTGTTTGTTTGTTTGTTATCCTTTTTGGAATAAACTCATAAACTTATCCGAGACGCTGCTTCTGTCATTTTCATAGGTAAAAAAAATTGAAGTACTGATGATTCACTGTATAAGCCATGAGTAATCTTAGAAAAAAAACAATATTATTACAACAAATGCATGCAAGAGAAAAAGACGAACATACTGAGAAGAAGCAAACAAGACAGAATTACATGTTTTTGTGCAAACATTTTACATCAATATGTCATTGAATTTTTTCGATCGTCTTCCTGTCGAATTAATTTATGAAATTTTCGGCTATCTCTGGGCGCATGAAATTGTTTATGCATTTTTTAATGTCAGTAAATATCTTTGTGCTATTTTGAAAAGTTATGATCGCTTTTTAATCAATTTTCGATCGGTTCGCAAGACACACTTCGATCTTACTTGTCGTCTCATTCGACCTGATCAAATAATTTCATTGTCACTCTCTGATAAGAACAATACTCCTGATCAATGTATTCTTTTCTTCTCGTATTTTTCTATTGAACAATTGGTCAATCTTCGATCATTCGAAATGGACTCGTTTAATGAAGATACGTTTGAACGATTGAGAAGTCTTTTACAACTCAAATACTTATCATAATTGCATTTACCCAGTCGTCTATGGCATTCTGGAGCTTTCAAAGCATTCATTCGATCGATAGTACCGCGACTTCACCGACTAATAACCGATGATTGTTTCTTCGAACATTCCATGAATCATTTACAGCACTTAATTTTGACACGATGTCATTGTATTGAAATTAGGCAGTTGTTCAAAAACATAAGTCGTATTCGTTCTTTAAACATTACTCTAGTAGACTATGGTAGTCCGGGCTGGCCCACAAACGTTGAGATCTTATCAGAACTTCGTCAGTTTACTCTTAGAGTTGACAATGGTGCAATGGAAATTACTGAAATAAGAAATATTTTACATGCTATGCCATGTGTGAAATATTTAGAACTTGACATTCTATGTGAAATCAGTTTAATTGACAGTCATCAATGGGAATCGATTGCTGTTAATCTCATTCGATTTGATTTTCGATTTCGTATTGAACATAGATCGGTATGTAATGCTGCAAAAATCAACCATCTTAATTCGTTCCGAACACCATTCTGGCTCGAACAGAAGCGTTGGTTTGTTGCTCAAGATGATCGTAAACCATCAACCATTTTCACTATTCCTCGGTTCATGCCGAAAGATTTAGAATGGCCATTGAACAATATCATAGAAGATTGTACAATTGATATTTTCAAACCTAATAATTACGTCGAACATCTAAATTTATTTCCTACTAAACAGAGCACACAAGCTGAAAACAAGCTTGATTTACAGACTGTGCTTGAAGATAAACCACGACTATACTCACTGAATATCTGTAATTCGTTGTCATCCGATATTCTACACGACAAAGTTGTCTATGAACAAATACGAACTTTACGTTTTAGTTTCGAGTAGAATAAATCATCGTCATTTAATCCAGAACAGATATGTGCAGCATTTCCTCGATTAGAATGTTTGAACATATCAGTTGAATCACCGCAAGCATTATTTGTGTTTATCGACCGACTGAAATATTTATCCGATGCACATTTTCATTTCAATTTCACTATTAAGAAATGGTGTTGTTGGCAATCACAGCGAGTGACACGTCAATGGCTCATTCGAAATAGTCGACGATTATCACGTAATCGACATTTTACTAGTACAATCACTGATCATAGTATAC